CCCTCTTGGTTGTCAGACAGGATCAAAAGGCAAACCAGACCTTTTTCTTCATCCTTCTTTTCTTGTGCCTCTCCCAACCCCTCCTCCCATCACCCCCCTTCTCCCCTAAGGAAAAAAAAAAAAAAGCCAACTCCCATCCCCAAGGCCTATAGCTTGGTGAGGAGGGAATGAACTCTCCAGAACTACAAGGCCCTTCTCCTGGAAGAGAGAGTAGTCAGGTGCAGAGTTGTGTGGGGAACTCGGCCTCTAGTCAGCCACGCTGATGACTCAGAAGCTAAATATAGTGAGCGATATAAACAGAGCCAGCCACAGAGCAAACACAGGGCCCCCAAGCCCCGGCCTGGCTCTCACGCACAGCGGCCCTCCACGGCCCCTCCCCCAGTCTCACTTTTCCCCAGGCACCCTCCTAGGTAGACCTCCCACTGCTGGAACAGAGGCTGGCTCCACAGGGACCTTCTCACTCTAAGGTGAATGTCTGGGGCTCCTGCCCAGGGCTGCCACATCTAGGGTCTGAACAACCTCATTAGCCACAGTCTGAGCCCCCCAAACCACTCAGCAACAAGGAGGGCATCCCAAAGGGTCAGGAAGCAGTCAAGGGCCCCCTGAACAAAGGATCCAGGCTGTTGGCAGATGTAAACACCACTCTGGGTACAACTTCCAAGTGAGCTCCCTAAGAACTATAAAGACAGGTCCAAGCAAAATCCTAAAATCATCTTCTGGCACATTTCTTAAAGTGTTAAACCGCCCACACCTTAATAGTTATATATATTATAATCTCCACTGGGCTTTCACATCTGCTCTGCTAGGTAAGTATGAGAAATCGAGGTTCAGGGAAGTTAAATGACATGCCTATAGACAGAGAACTCATAAGGGACAGAGGTAGAAATTTGAACCCAGGTCTGCCTTTACATCTAGGATCCTTTCTGTGATATTGCAACAAAAGATAGTTTCTAGTGAGTGGCTAACATTTTCCTCAGATTTCATTTTCCAGAAAGTCTAATTACCATTCAGAGAATTTCCAAATCGGACTATTCTGAATGAAGCCACTCCTGGTCCAAGTGAAAAGGCCATTTCCAACTCAAGGAATTCCCATGTGCTTGTAGCTTTACTCACTCAGTGGTCTACAGTGGCTTTTTTTTTTTTTTTTTGAGGATTCTTGGCTTCTTAACATTGCCTAGGAATACCCCCCCCCCATAAATTTCAAGATGGTGCCATTGGGATAGGAGACATTCCTAAGAGGAGGGGACAGCAGCTACTGTCCATTCTTAGGCCCATACTGGAGGAGATCGCAGAAGGGGGAATGGAGAGAAACTAGAACCCACACCTTCTGACTCCAGCAGCTCATGAACACAGTGAGGAAGCAAACCTGTACCTCCTCTTCACTGCAGAAGCTGGAGAGACAGAGCCTAAGTCAAGGCAGACCCTGGTCAGCAGATCACCAACTCTTGATTTCAGCTCAGGTCATGATTTCAGTTCGTGAGATTGGGCCCCATATTGGGCTCAGTGCCCATAGCAGAGTCTGTTTGTCCCTCTCCCTCCTACACTGCCCCTCACTCTTTCTCTCTCTAAAATAAATAAATAAAATCTAAAAAAAAAAAGGGGGGGGGACCATTCCACTCCTGACCCAGTCAAAGGAAGGTGGGGCATGTGACCAGGTTGGGAAAGGCTTTTGTCTCCAAACGCCCGGCCTCCAACTCTCTTGCTGCTTTGGAGACCCAAAGAGCCAACAAAAAGCACCTCACTGATACTGATATTCTGCCTTCAAATCCTTGCCTTTCAATCCAGAGGAGCCACCCTGAACTGATCACTCGGGTAACCAGGCTAGACCCCACCCACATGCTCCTTAGGAAGTATGTGGCCGGCAAAAATCCAGATCCAACATCCAGTACAATTTGCAACCTTTTGAATTGGGGGTCATGTTGATGCACTCAATTGGCCATAATGCCATTCTACAACACACTACCCCGTCATGGTACCCCCCACCCCCTCTGCTCCACATCTCCTAGGAAAAAGTGTTCCCTTGACACAGAAAAAGAATTACTTGAGGTCCTTAACTAGGGACCAAAAGTGAATGCTCACACTACCTACAGGACTCAGGGACCAAGGGCCATTGTCTGGCCTTGGGACACCATCCCAGATCTGAGGAGAAAGGAAATGGCCAAGCCCTCTCAACAACTTATTGCCTCTTGGGTTGTGTTTCCTGGCTCCCTAAACTCGGCCTATATCGATGGGGGACTGATCATCATTCTTTGAGGAGAAATGTACAAGGCCGAGGCCCACAAGTGAACAGCTTGGACACTGATTTCTCTGTGCAGGGCAGGTGGAGGGAGCTCAGGGGAGGCAACTCTGCTAAGGGATCAGCCTGATAGGAGGGGTGGGAAATGGTGAACTGACAAGAACAAATGTGAGGGATGATCAGGCTTCTAGACAGACAACAGGAAACATGCATTAAAGAATACCTACTGTGTACCCAGAACTTTAAATGGTATTTTCTCACTTAACCTTCACAATAATATTCTGTGGTATTAGCTCTAATTTACAGAGGAGGAGCTAGACTTGACAAGGTCAAGTGCCTTCCTGATGGCTAGGGGGTAGCAGAGCTGGCATTTAAACCTGGGCCTTCTGACTTTGGACTCAAAGCCTAGAGACTTAATCCTAAACCACTTCCTTCCTAGTACCTCAGTGTCCCTGCCTGCAAAGGAAGGGAATAGGGAAAGAAAAGAAAAGAATGTAGGAGTCACAACAGTACTTTCTAGATATGAAATATTAGACTGTGGTTTATATAATAAAGTCAGAAAACGACTCACTTCTTAAAGCTAGCTGCTAAAAGTTCCTCTGCATGCTGGTGCTCCTTCTGCCCGTGGCTCTTATCCTAGCCCTTCCTGCAGGATGAGCTCCTGGACAAGGTCTGTGAGCAGGGTTAGTGGGGAGGACAGGGTTAAAAGCAAGAGGATTCCACAGACCAAAAGCCTGGTTCTCTGTAATGGAAAGTTTGGGAAAACCAGCTCTGGGCTAGAAAGGCTTAGCTGACTGGCTCCCGCCACTGTGAGGTAGGAGTAGACAGCAGGCAGGAGGGTGAGGGACACAGGGACACAGGGGACTTGGGAGCCAGTAGGGGGTGAGGTGCAGAACACTGCAGGGGAGATTCTCCTATGGTTCTCCTTTGATTCTGCTGCTTTGCCCCTCCTCCCAGGCTGGGGTAGCTCTGGCTGATAGCCGAAAGATACCCTCAAAAAGGCAGCCCTGGACTGGGGGAAATGATGCCAAGCAGCAATGAGCAGGGTCAGACCTTGGGATGAGGGCTGTCTCCTCTCGTTCAGGACTGAGTCATCAAGAAAGGGCCCTGGGCTATGTTCTAGTCTTGTCCTCCCAGCCTGCTCCCAAGCCTACGGGGGCTCACCAATGGATGGAGAAATATTCTGGGAAACAATTGTTGAGAGAGATCAGGTCAATTGGGAATGAAGAAAGCTGCCTTCCAGACAGTCCTCTAGATGAATCTAGGAGACCCACAGCCACTGTGCCCTCCAAAAACTCCAGCACCAGGACTGGAAGCTGTGAGCTGGTCTCAGCCATAGGCCTGTAAAACCAGGCTAGAGTGAATGGGCAGGAAGGAGGCCAAGAGACGGAAATCCAGAATCAGAGCAAGTCCACACATGGAATGAAGGGGAGACTTGAAGCCAAGTTTCCAGATAACAATCAAAGGAGGGACTAGGGACTGGAGCGAGGGGTCAACGGAGGAAGCTAGGCTGCCTTATTACCTAAGCATAGGGCCCCCCTCTCTTCCAGATCACTAAGGGACTGGGAGAGCCATCCAGGACCAGGTCTGGCCCCAGATTTCCCTCAGAACTCCTTGGCAGAAGGCACTAACCATATGTAACCCCTGATGGTCTGTTCTCAGGAGACCAAAAGACAACTTCTCTCTCCCCTGGTGTTGGCAATGGTTTGGCCCTTCAGTCAAACCTACTCTGATCACCTGAAGTTACCCATCTAAACTCAGGGTCTGCCCAACCGTGATGAGTTATTTATTCTCTTTATTCCAGACACAGACACAGACACAGACACACACACACACACACACACACACACACACAGCCCGCTAGGACGGTCCCCGGGGTAGGGACCGTGTTCATTTCCAGGTGGCATGCCTTTGCTTCCATGGTGGTTGTACGAGCACGGATTCAGCCTTGGGCTCCTCTCCCTGCCTTGGCAGCCATCCAGAAAGCCAGCCCAGAGAGGAAGGGTTAAGTGCCTGGGGGCTGGCCCAGACAGCGGCTGCAGAGCAGGGCAGCCTCCAGCCCGTGGCACGGAGGGCTCCTCCAGCACGAGCCTGCCAGCCGCCGCCGCCTTTGTTGATGGACTCTGCCACATGCTCGACTGACACGCGATGCTCCGCCCAGGCGGGGCTGGTGCCAGGCTGCCGGCCAAGCGCCCGGCCGTCAGTCTGGAGAGACTCTCTGAGGTATACTCTCCAGAGTCCCAGGTCCCGGTTCCCAGACAGAGACAATGAGGAGCAGCCTCCCCAGCTGGAAAGTGTCAGGTTACAACCGGTTCCACCACTTTCCCCGACTCAGGCCCATCCCTCGGCCTTGGTTACCCGGTTCCCACTGCACCTCAAGTCAGGCACCCCCAAATGTCCGATTTCACTCCGGCACCCTGAAAACCTTCCCCTTGGGTCTGGGAGGGACAATCTCCCACCCTGGCCTTGAGCAGACACAGTGTGTCAAACAAGGCTGCAGAAAGCCACCCCATTCCCCAGGAGAGATGGTAGCATTTCCTGACAAACCACTGGACAAACCGCTCTTAGGAAGCCTGAGCTGAGAGAGGGCAGAGAACCAACTTGGAGCTCAGAGATGGCAAGAGTGCTCAGCCAGTTGGGCCCATCCAGTTAACCCTGGGACCATATCCTCGGGGCCTGGCAGAGACAGAGTTGCTGAGGCAGGTCCGAGCCCCCAGCCCCAGCAGACTCCCCCCCCCGCCCCACCCCAAGCCCCCGTGCCTACTTGCTGCATGTGAAGCCGATGGAACTGGTCTGCAATGCACTGAAGCTTTCGGGCAATCTGTACCTCTGCTCGATGCTGCCACTGCCCTTCAGGGGGCTGCCCCCCAAGGGGCAAGCCTGCAGGGAAACTGGCCGGGAGAGGGAGCCGGTAGCCAGCATTGCCTGCAAAGACAGAGGGCCCACATCTCAGCATTCTCCACAACTGCACCATCCACTCCATGCCTAACACTCCTGGCTGACACCTGGGGCCCGAGGTCTTTATCGGGCACGCTGCCAGATTTGGACAACCTGGCTGCCCAACCATCTAAAAGCTGATGTTCAGAGGGAGCAAATGGTCCTAGCCTTGTCCCTTCACAGGCAGTGCCGGGGCAAAAGTAGTATGTGTGGGGGAACTTGCCAGCCTTCGGTCTTTATTTACCAAGCTGTGCTTGACCACAATTTATTTTTCATGCAGTAGCAGGTTGAAGCTCTTCTCTGGAAAAGCACCGGAGGCAGCTCTCCGGAGTTCCTGGGTTGAGCAAAGCAAGGCGGGAGAAAGAGAATACCAAAATGTGCCTTCACTTTTTCCCCTGGCTGGGCCCAGGTCCTGAAGCTCTGGGCAATGGTACGAAAACGAGGGAGAGAAAACTCCTTAGACCCACTGGATAGCCAAGTTCCTCTCTGGAGGAGCCCCAGGCCAGACCGCAAGACCTCGAGACCTGCGCTGCACCCTACCCAAGTGCTGGCAAGCGAGCTGCCGCTAGGGGTGCCCGCCTGCCTCCTCCCTCTGTTCCCTCTTCCCTGCTGGCCGGCCTTATCCATCTTTTCGGACTCCCCAAGGAAGTACCGGGCAGCTCCCTCCAGGAATAACTGCAGCGGCTCCTCAAGAGGCAACCTCAGACCTAGCAAGACAGCCTCCGAACCTTTTCCCCCACCCTCCATAAGCTATTGTGCTAAAAGAATAAAGCCGACTGAGTGTCTAACCCTGTCCCTTTGCCAGAGGAGGGCATGTTACTCATAAAACAAACCATTTAAGCCCACAAATGAAGGGGGCTTGTCTGATTGAGTCTTGGAAACAGCCCCTCAGCTGGCACTGAGCCCCGGCAGGCCCAACCTCTTTCTCCAATTCCCCCTTCCAAGCACAGAAAGTCCCAAGTGACACCTTCTGCCTTCAGGAACCTTCCCTCCAGAAAGGACTGGGTTTTTCCCTTCAGTGTCAACAGCGAGTCACAGATCCCCCAACCTTCTCCGGGGCCACTTCGGCCAATTAATGGAAGGCATATCACTCCCAGGACACAAAAGCCTGGGCCACTCATTGGGCCACAGGATGTAAAGCCCAAGGCCCAGGTACCCTCTCTCCAACCCTAAAAGGCACCATGGACCCAAGGATCCCTGCAGAAAGGGACAAAAAGGCAGAAGTGATGGCATAGCAACTTGCCTTTCTTGGTGCCCAAGGAGCACAAGTGAAAAGCAATAACAGGCAGAGAAGAAGAGTGACAAGAGTCGAGGAATCCATAGCCCCTGCTGTTTAATTTGGGGAAGGAAATAACAAAGTGCAGGTCTGAGGAGGGGAAGTCCCCTCTTTTCCCCCAGTCTCTATGGGAGGAGTCCTGAGGCTAAGAGCACTCACCATAAAAGAGTCGCTGGGGTTCTTGGGTCACCCCACAAGGCAGCATGACACCCTGACTCGGGGAGGCTGGACTGAGGGTCTGGGTGGCCTTGTCTTCCTGGCTGGTGGGTCGAAGCCCAGGGCCACAGCAGTGGGTGAGAGGGAAGAGATGCAGACGGCTGAGGGGGCAGTCCAGCTGGCTCTGGGCAAACAGGTCAGCAGAGAGCAAGCTCCCAGGCTGCGTCCCCGGCTCCCCGTCGTCTGGCTGGAACACATCATCCTCTAGCTCCTCCACACACTGAGGCGGATCCATCTCCCCTGTTAGGGCGCAAAGCAGGTCTCCGGGCTGCTGCTTCTACCCAGGCCAAACCTGAAGGATCCCCCCTCCCCTTTCTTCTGTCCTGCTTCTCCTTCTTACCTGGGGCAGTGGGGCCAGGTACTGAGGACAGATAACCCGGTGATAAAATACTACCAAGGATGACACCCCTCCCCAAACAGTGAGGACTGCCTCGCTGTTCAAGGATGTGCCATACCTCTTCCCTGGGCCTTCCCAGAGCCACCCCCTACCTTGGCCTTTTCTTCTGACCCAGGCTGGTTCTGGTCACGAAGTCTGACTGCTATTGACTCTGAGCAATAGCAGGGGTATGATCAACTGCTACAAGCATGCAGGACACCTGGGGAAATGTCAACAAGACTAGACCCTGTGAGTGGCTGTGGGAGGGCAGAGGGTGCTGTGACTGGCTGTACACACAGTGCTCACCACACACACACACACACACACACACACACACTCACTCACTCACTCACTGCCCTGAGGAGTAACCAGCCAGCTCTCCTCTCAGTCTGAGCTGAGCTCCCAGCTGAGCAGCAAAAACAAAAGCCAGCAATCAGAGGGCAGCCAGGTTCCCTCCAAACCTGCTAAGCCCCGCCCAGATGCCCATCTACTCTAGTCTCCACCCCCTGCTTGCTCAACACAACAAACAGGCTCCACGGTGTGGTAAGCGTGTCCTGGGAGAGAGGGCAGAAAGACCCAAGTTAATCGTTGCCCTCCCAGCAGAGGAGAGCTGTCTGTCCACCACAGCTTGGCCGAGAGGGTAGGTCCAACATCTAGCATGTGGCCAGCCTCCCCCAGCTCAGCCTACTCACTGGTGTCCATGACTTCAATCTTCTTTCCCCACAGCCCAGCATTCCTGTCAGCGTTGAACCTGAGACTGGTGTAACCTTCCTCACAGAAGGAAGTGAAATTCAGCCCTCTTTCTGTGACCTCACTCACCGCCTCTGTACTACTCAGGTTGTCGATACGAGTTTCTTGGTCATGAAGAAGTTCCTCTTGCTCCACCTGATGGCTCTTGGAAATCTAAGCTTGGAGCCGGCCAGCATCTTGGGCTCCCAACACAGCCCCCTACACACACACACACACACACACACACACACACACACACACACCCAGGAACCTGTTAAGAGTCCCTGGGCAGCCAGAAGCAGCAACTACCTGAATGGTTAAGGATACAGAGAGATACTGTTTGTCACTGCCAGATTCAATTAGATATCCCCTGGGAATTCTGTCTCCCAGTCTCTTGCCTTTGAAGAACAAGCCAAATGGTCTGTGGGTTGGTAAAGTACTTAAAGGCATCTCACTTAAATTCAGAAAATCTGGGGCGCCTGGGTGGCTCAGTTGGTTAAGCGACTGCCTCTGGCTCAGGTCATGATCCTGGAGTCCCAGGATCGAGTCCCGCATCGGGCTCCCTGCTCGGCAGGGAGTCTGCTTCTCCCTCTGACCCTCCCCACTCTCATGTGCTCTCTCTCATTCTCTCTCTCTCAAATAAATAAATAAAATCTTTTAAATTCAGAAAATCTTGGCTTCCCTAAATGCAAGCTCTCTCTGAGGTGCTTGCTTCAACCCTCCCTCCATCCCAACTATCCGTGAGCTATCTATGACCCCATCTCTGCCCTCTTCCCTGGTGAGTGAGGAGACCCCCGCTTGGATGGCAAAACAGGCACACGCTGTTCTTTGGAAAGTGTTTCCCAAAGGAGGGTAGGAGATCTTCAGCTTATCAGCACCAGGAAACAAAGTTTCTGGCTGAAAGGACCAAGTGCTGTCTTGCCAGTCACCTGGCAGGGGCTCACCTCCAGCCCTTCAGGCTTCTCTCCCCAAGCTGGCAATCCCAGCCTAAGAAGGGGCCCTCCAAAGCCAATCACAAGCAGCAGTCATTGTCTTGGTTTTTCCTTTGAAGCCGGTCACCTCCCCCTCCCCCTCCCAGCAAAGCCCCAAAGTTCAACCCTTGCCTGGACTGGACTGTGGGGAAATGCAGCCATAGGGTGTGTCTCTGCAAGCCCTGGGGACCCTACCCATTCTCCACAGGAACTGCAGGTGGCTCTTCTGTACGCGGGAGCCTCCCGAGGGGTGCTGGGCAAAGTCAAGTGTAAACCGGGATGCGGTAAGGAGACCCTCTTCTCCCCTTCGCCTGAGCTGAGGGGGTGATGTCCAAACTGGTAGGAGGATCACACTTCTTGAGAGCACAGCCCGGGAAGGCTTTATTCCTAGCAAGGGGAATCAAAGCCCGCTGGAGCCGTCCCAGCCCCCAAGGGCTGTAACTGGGATGCTGAACTTAAGACTCCTCCTCCCAGGAGAAGTGCTTAGCCAGGCACTCTGAACCTCGATAGGAGTTAAAATCTCGGAACGCACACATACATGCATACACACTCACGCACCCACACGACACACAGCAGACCTGGGTGACTCCAGGAGAGAGTCTCGGCCTCCGAGTCGTGATGCCAGGGCTCCGCGCCAGGGTCCAGCGTGACGAGCACTCGGGGGCTTGGCGCCCAGACTCAATTGGGAAGGAGGGAAAGAGCCCAGCTGTTAAGGAGAGGAGCCTTCAGACTCCGCAGGGAGGCTGGACGCCCCACAACTCCCTGTCCTACCCCAAAGTCAGATCCAGAGGCCGGGCCGTTCTCGGGAGCCCAGGTCTGCTCAGCAGTGAACCGCAGGTTCCCTGTCCACCTGGACCCAACTCCTTACTGTCTGAAATGCTACTACCCCCAAGTTCCCTGGTGGAGCAGCGCACCTAGATGAGGGTTCTGCACCCCGTTCCCGCACCCAAGCGCTCCAGTCCTTCATGGTCACCCTAGACGCCCGCAGCCCAACCCTTCCCGGGCCCCCATGCGCAGCACGACTCCTCTCCCCACTTCCCCGAGGAGGTGCGATCCAACTCCGGCCGGCCCCGGCCGCCCGCGCGCTCACCGGGCTGCGGCGGGTGGCGGGAGGCGCGGGCAGGGGCGGCGGCGGCAGCTGGCTGGCTGGCGCGGGAGGAGGCCACTGTGCACCGCGCGGTATTGTTTCCAAAATACGCCCGCTCGGGGCATCCCGCAAACAGCTGATGAGGCCCCGCCCCCGGCGCGTCACGCCCACGGCTGGCCAATGGCGAGCGGAGCCCCAAGTCCCGGGCTGGGCGGCTGCCAGGGACGGTCACGAATGTACGAACCTTCCCTTGGAAACATCGCAAGGGGCCGAGCGAAATTCCGGCTCCCGTCAGAAACGCAATTGGAGCGCCATAGTCCGCGCAGGTTCCGTTCCTAACGCCAGCTCGGGAAGGACCGGAGAGTCCCCGAGTCCTCTCTATTAGAAGGGAGAGAGGGGGCGCCAAAGTGACTTTTGTCTTCTCTTTCTCCGGAATGGCCTGATAATTATGGAGCGTCCAGAAAGGGAGGGTAGGAGGAGGCAGGAAGCTTTTAGATGGGGCGGGCGGCGTCCACCGAGTGCAAGGTGTGGGTCCTTGTGGATCCCGGCCTGGTGGCAAAGCACCCTCCCGCCTGCCTAGCGGGTCAGAAATGAACTCCTGGCGCAAATCTCTAGGAAGCATGAGAACACGTGCGTCTGGCGCTGTTACCGAGTGACATTCAGATCAAACACCTCCAAAGGGACTCTCATGTCCTCTCCTTGAGTGGGCGTGGATACTTAGAAAATAAGTATCTGGCTGAGGAGAGGAAAGATAAAAAATGCAGGCGCTGCGTGAGCAGTTGACACCCATCCTGTTTATGGCATCATCCAGAGATGTGTACTGCAGATCTCGTACTATCAGTAAGGGAGTCCCCAGGCCATTTCACAAACATTTATTGAATACCTACATTGTGCCAGGTACTGGGTTAGGAGCCAAAAACCTGGTGCCTGTCCTCAGGGAGCCTATAGTTTACTCGGGGAGGAAGATTTGAAAATAACCGAATGCCGCATGAAATGTCTTAATTTTTAGGGACAATGACTGCTGGAAGGTGCAGAGAAATTCAGAACGGAAAGCTTCAGGGAGATGGCTTTTGAGTTGGGCCTTAAAGGATGTGGAAATTTTTCAATAAGGAAGACCAAATAAAGCAGCCCAGGCCTAGGGCAGCAGAATAAAGTGCTGAACTGGACAATCTGTCCTGGGAGCAGGGCAGGCTGGAGGAGAGGTCTTTGGGTGCACCCCAGGATTTGGGAAGGGTGGTCATGGACAGGTAGATTCAGGTCAGAGTACATAGGTGTCCCTGCAGTGCAAGGCTGGAGAATCCCTACTGGAGGCAAAAGGGAGCCAGCAAAGATTTTTACAGAAGATAAGTGAATTGACCAAGCCTGCATTTTAGGAAAGATAAAAGAAGCCAGAAATCAGTGAGAGCGAGCCAGTCCCTGCAACAGACTAGGTGGTCAATGATGGGCCTGACCCTGGTGATAGTAGGGATGGACAGTCCTCTGACCACCAAGCTGCTGTCTCTGGTTGTAAACTCAGACAGATTTAAGTTAAGTGGAGCTGGGACTCAGCCCAGAGGAGCCTGAAGTCTCCTTGCACCTTTTCCCCTACCCATTCTTTCCTTAGCTCCCTCAAAGCGCATCTGAAAGAGAGCCAACCAGGCATCTTGACTGACAGCTGGGGTTGCTAAGGCAGGAAAACACCATCTCCAAAGTCCAGAGAAGAGGGAAAAGGGAAAGAGGGGAGGGTCGAGGTTGGCCAGCAGCCCAGTCCCCAGGAGCTGACGGATGTCCAGAAAGAGGTGCTGGAGCCAAAAGGAGATATATTATTTTACCAGGAGGCTTGGCCAAGAGGGAGTGTCACCTGGTCAGGGTGACCTCACATTCATGCCACATGTGGGGAAATGAGGAAACCAAGCCCAGCTTCCATGCAGGGCACTGGGGAGCCCTCACCACATTCACCAGGCACAGACCTCTTTCCCCTCCTTCCTTCCATCCTTCTCTTCTGAATGGCTTTCCTCCTGGACCCATGTCTCAAGCTGACCAGTGAGGACTATGGGTATTACTTAGGATCAAGAATGAACCGAAGGGGCGCCTGGGTGGCTCAGTTGGTTAAGCGACTGCCTTCAGCTCAGGTCATGATCCTGGAGTCCCTGGATCGAGTCTGCATCGGGCTCCCTGCTCGGCAGGGAGTCTGCTTCTCCCTCTGACCCTCCTCCCTCTCATGCTCTCTGTCTCAAATAAATAAATAAAATCTTTAAAAAAAAAAAAAAGAATGAACCGAAGGACAGAGCAGGTCTGAATCTCTCTTCTCAGGCAGCACAGGCCCTAGGGGGCAGAGGTCATGCTCATTTTCCTTACCGCCCCCAACCCCCACGTCTCCATCTCCCACCTCCCCACCTCTCAGCCCCCACCCCCATTCCAAGCTGCAACTGCTCTGTCTGCTTCATCATGGCAGAATTGGGTCCACAAGGTAAGGAAGATGGTAGAGCAGAATTGTTACCTGGGCTCCATGTACTTGCCAGACTCACCAGGGTCTCCTCAGCTTTAGGGTCTCTGAACCCCTGAAATTGGCTAAATTGTGTATGTGGGTTCACACAAATATTTTGAGGGGTGGCTCCATAGCTTACTTACAACAGTCTCCCAAAGGGGCCTGTGATCCTATAAAAGTTTAAAAATCACCAATGTAGGGGAATGGGGCTGGGAGCAGAAGGGATCATCTTAGTGGGTCTGGATAGTTTGCAAGGTGGGAGGAGGGTCACACCCTCTAGTGACATTTCTTCTAAGACCTCTCTCCCAGGCCTTCCCAGCCTCTCTCAGGCTGGTTCTGAAGGACACGCAGCGGCTTGGCCTCCTGCGCTCTCAGCCTCTAGGGTCAGGCAGCAGGGGCCCAGCCTTCTGAGCTGCAGGGACCAGAAAAGACTGTCAGGGATAAAGGGGTCAGGGAGGTCAGGAGCCTCACTCCCCACCTCTCATCACTGTCAAAGCGGATCCCTCCCTCTGTACCATTCCTCCCCTTCCAGCACGGGGCTCAGCAGCGTCAGGACCTGCTTGACTGGAGGTCTGGGCACTGAATCCCTGACCAACAGCAGCACCCTAGTTGCGGCCACAGCAGTCCATTTTGGAGAATTTCCTTTCTCTCTTTCTCTTCCCGCCCCTTGCCCCAATTTGTTTTCTCCTCTGCTGACTGATGCTGGCTGTAGAAGGAGGGTCCCCAGAGAAAGGCATAGTTGCTCTGAAAGGCGCCAACGATCTGGGAGGGACACAAAGAGTTAAGGGGAGGCTGCTTTCAACAGAAGAGAAAATCCAGCTCCCTATAGAAAGCAGGCAGCAACCCTCTCCATTGTTTCACCTGGCTATAGGATTTCTCTCTGAGACAAGGAATAGGCTCTAAAACTCTGGTAACTGGATCACTGGGAAGGGAGGTTTTTTAAAAACCAGCTGACAGCTGAATAATAGGAATTACCAGGCAGGCTGCCCCGGGGGTTGCTGAGGTTTGTAACTCAACCCCCAGGGAGGGGTTAGATTGGAAACTGATTTATGGTGGGGGTCTTGGTGGGGGAGTCCATAGTGCTTGATCCTCTTGCCTCTTAACTTCCTCCAGGAGGGATCGTGTCCATAACAAAGATCAGGAACCTGGAAGATTTGAGTGTCCTTCCCTTGCTGGTATTGCTCTAACAGAATGAAATTATCTCTCGGACATCATTCCATCTGTGTGCAAAGGAACAGTCGCTCTCTTCTGAGTTGCAGTGTGTGTGTGTTTACAAGTAAGAGAGAGAGAGAGAATATACCCGAATAGACAGATTAGTTTCTGCTAACTGGGTAAGCAAGTGGAGAGACTTGATTTCCCAGTCAATGAGTTCACTACTTGCCAATCACTGGTTCAGTGGGATGTAAACAGAAAAAGCAGGTGCTAAAGAGAAAACACTTGGAGCCCCAGACCTGGGTGGAAAGGAAGATGCAAAGTGAGGCTGCCGTGCGAAAGCCCAGGGGAACCTAAAAGATAAGGTGAAGTCCAGGATCCCATGACTTACGACATTTAGCACACATTCAGTTTCAGTTTTCAGTGAATGAATAAGTATACATTTCCAGATTTTAAAAATATGAATAGTTTCATGTTGGGGAGTGGGGAAAAAAACTCTGCAGTGGAGGATTTCCATAAATGTTCTATCTCCATTGTGTCTGTCACTTGGGATGGCTGGCCTTAACCGAGTCTCTTCTCACCAGCAGAGCCAACTCCTAGAAGACAAAAGGGATGCTGCCAGGTCTTTGGTACCGTCAGACCACCCTCCTCCTGGCTGCGGGGACACATTTACAGGAAAACTACAAGCATGGCCCTCAGATGGTAGAGCAGAATTGTTACCTGGGCTCCATGTACTTGCCAGACTCACCAGGGTCTCCTCAGCTTTAGAGTCTCTGAACCCCTGAAATTGGCTAAATTGTGTATGTGGGTTCACACAAATATTTTGAGGGGTGGCTCCATAGCTTACTTACAACAGTCTCCCAAAGGGGACTGTGATCCTATAAAAGTTTAAAAATCACCAATGTAGGTGATTTCCCCCTCCCCCTCCTCCCCAGCCCAGGGCTCAACATGCCCAGCCCACGGAAAAGAAGTAGGGTTTATCCTGCCAAGGGATGAAGGAATCCAATCAAAATACTCTCCTTTTACTCTACTTCACCCAGGACGCAGTCATTTTCCTGGGCAAAGATACACCAGGACGTCAGTACATACTTCTCCTTGGGATTGTCAGGGAAACCTCAGAAATGTTCGGCTCAGGCTAGAGAATGATCGATTGCTATTGAGGAAACCTGCCACCTGTAAGATCTGAGAAGCAGTCCCTCCTGGGTCTAGAGCCTCCCAGGTTTTGAATCTGGTGCTCAAGAGGATCTGGACCAAGAAGATGAGTTGGATCATCTGTTTCCCAGCCAAACCCTTAGTCCTTACTGTCCTGGAGTGGGAGAGGGTCACTATCTGGCAAAGACAGAGGGGCTCCATCACCCAGGTGTGAGTTCATCAAATATCTACTGAGCATCTGCCATGTGCTAGGCTCCACGTCAAAGGCTGGAGGTACAGATATCCCTGGGGCATCCTTGAGCATATCCATGCCCTTTTCCCCCAAACACGAACCCTCATATGCATATCTCAAAGG